TTTGTGACCAGTAACTGTTTAGCACATGGCAACAGTATTATAACGTATACATATATTAACTTCGGTTGGTTGCATTCCATATGCATGGACATGGAATTAGGCAAAGTCATCGATATGAGATATCTCAAAACAAATAATTATCAATGATGATTATATAAACGTATTACAAATTAATATCAAAGTTTCGTTACAAAAATAACCTATACAGAATTTTTAACTCACAAATATATATTAAATAATCCCAGCTCTATGCTCCTCCTAGGAGTTAAAGGAACAAAAATATAATCCTTAAGAATTAATGTATGCAAGTAAGTTCTGTATCATTGTGATAGTCTCGCCAGATTCAGACTTCGGTACTTATCCACTGCCTATCCCTTATAACGGAATTAGGCAACATCTCTCCAAAGGTTCTTAACTGCTACTCGTTTACGGAACTGACGTAGGTATGTCACAACAATCCTCAAGAGATGCAGTGACATGGTGACAAGTTCCCAACCAGTTTTTTGTTTTTAAATCTAAATCTTAAAGTATTACTTTAAAATATATTCATTTATTGACTAAAAATAAATGAATATATTTTATGAGAAGATGCATTAAACCAATTGAAAGTAAAATAAAATAATATTTATTTCTTTATATAAGAAAATATATCCCCTAAAATTTTTTAAAAATATTCACAGATTTCTTTTCGATTTTTAATATTAATACAAGAAAGTATTGTTTTTATTTCGTCACCTTAATTTTTTTCTTCAAGTAGTTGTTAGAAATTTATAATAATTATTACTTTAAAGATTAATAATAATAACAATTTATTTATTTATACTATTAGCATATCTTTTTTTAGTATTAAATTTAATATTCTACCATTTGGCATCAATTTACTTTTCATATTCATATAGAATTTTACAAAAATAGAAGCAGAAATCTAAACTAACAATCTTCGTTTCTATTGTTATTTATTTATTTATCTATTGCATACTACATTTTACGCAAATAGATACTAAAAATATTAAAATCATTAATTTGTTTAAAATTTCTATTGAGAAGATTACACTAAAGCCAGTTCGAGAATAAAATTTATTGCAATTCATTGATAATTAAAATTAAATCGTGGTTGGAATCGCATTTATTTTAATAATGAATATGTAAAATAATGTACACTTAAAGGTCAGCGCTAATCAAAAATAGTAAATTCATTGGAAATAAAGGTTAAAACTAAAGAAAAAATTATTTCTAATATAAAGATAATTTTCTATTGAATTATACTGTCTTTGAATGATCTGAGCTACTTGGCAATTTGAATTTATTAACTGTAGACGATAACTTGAAGGGTTATAAATATTTCACTGAGTTGATATTTGTTAAAAAGTCTTGAGAAAATAATAAATATTAACAAAATTATTTTAATAAATTTTGATATTCGATTTTCAATGTCTATTTTAATTGCTAAAATCACTGATGGAATAAAATAATGACTGTTCACATAGGTAAGTAAATTAATATTAATATTAAGCAATTAATTGCTTACAATTCTCATTTAGTTAATTTGAGATTTTATATAAAAGGTTTCTGAATTTGTTTTAGAGTTGGAGGCATGTGGCCTATAGCTTAAGCTGTAAATTAGGTATGGATGTTTATTATTAATTTAACTTGGTTCTGTTTCTGACATTGAGCACATAGTTACACACCATTAAAATTAAGTATTATGATTATAATCCTTATACGTATGTATTAGTATTATAAAACTAAAATTGTTAAATATGAAAATATACATCTAAATATGAAATATATAAATATGAAATTGGATATATTTAAATTAGTAGATATATATATTTTGATTTTAATTATAAAATTTTTTACTTTACAATTATTAAACATACAATTATGAGCTTCAGTAATCATATATAACAGATTCCCACCTTCAAAGAATTCAGTAATTGAATGGTTTTAAGTAGAGATTACCTTTTATTTACATTAAAATATGATCATTAATTTCTCACAGTACGTTATCATGAATTTCAGAACGTATACAATAATTCTAAACTGAGAATTATATCAGTACATGTATATATTTTCTATGAAAATACCACCAGAAAAGATAAAATACGATTTGAAGGGTAATTAATGGGTGACAAAAGTCGATCAAAAAAGTCGATTTTAAATTTTACTTTAGAATTGTATATTCAATTGTAAATAGACGCTTAATAACTAGAAGTTCTTATCTACATCGAATTCAACAATTTAATGGTTTTAATAAATGGATATCTCAACTTTAATATATCAAAATATAATAATTATATTTCTAGCATTACATGCCCATGCATTTGAGAACTCATACACTCAGAAAAATATGCTCTTACCACCTAGTAATTAAATTGAACTGATCATTTTGTTAAAAAAATTTTAACACATGTGATACAGAAGAAACCAATATGTGATATGGCAGAACTAACAAGTAAGAATATTTTGACATGAGATTCACCTAAAATCTAGTTAAATTAAACAAATGCGTCTAAATGCGTTTATGTGTATACAGCAAAGACACGGTTGCCACTTGAAAATTTTTTTCTGTACCAAAATTGGTTTAAAAAGGTACCATTTATGTAAAAAAAGGTCCAAAATTTTTCTTTTTATAAGAAAATACAATTTATATAAAATGTACAAAAAGTATAAAACAACACAATATCCACAATAAAGTTGGGTCGCCGAAAATGTACCATTTTTTGAACATGAGTACCAGAGTACCAAACGGAAAAAAAAGTACCAATTTTGGTACTAAAGTACCATAAGTGGCAACCGAGAGCAAAGATGTATGAATGTTATTAGAAAATGATATAATATAATGAGATGTTTCACAAAAAAGTTTTTCGTAGAATTGCTGGTTCTTTAGGTGTTTATGACGATTACCCACTTTATTGCATTGCAAACATCTTGATAAACTTAACTATAAACATTATTATAAAACCGTATTCCATCAGAAACGTAGACTACATATTTGCATAGAATGTCCAGGTGTTTCTGTTTAATGCTAAATATCTTAATTCATTAAATGGTTTGTTAGTTTCACACTAGGTGGCACGAGGTCTCCCGGGCTTTCGATTGACTTGAGGGTTCCATTGCAGGGCAGCATGACAGACCTCTTTGTAGGATTTTCTATAAACACCTTACTTACAATGGTAGAACTGTACAAAAGATTTAATTTTTTTCCACATATAATAGTGTATTTTTGCATAATCTGTTATTATTCCATATTAATAATAAATCCAGTAATGATCACTAACAGCAGGTAGTGCAAAAAGTGCAAAAAGTTCAAAAAGTTCAAAAAGTTTGTTTTAAATTTCTCGCTATTAAAATTTGTCCTCGATTCGAAAACTATTAACCACTTTTACGTGGCGGTTCAATTGTTTGAGCACAAAAGTCAAATATTTTCCCATTATGAAACTTAAACTCCAAGTTTAATTTACTCAAATCACATGTTATGTTACACTCCACATACTCGTTATGTATAATAAAGTTATAAAACTTCAATATTACACATTATTTTATGTAATGAGTGAACTCATGTTTTAGCAATTGCATTAATTGTTACACATGCAATGAACCATAACTTCCCTTCTACTAAAAAATAAATAAAATAAATTCACATTCAAAAAATAAAAAAGGAAAAATCGTTAAAAAAATTGAATTAGCAATAATTAACCGGTAAACTAAAAACAAACTTCATTTGTTATTTTTTTTTTTCACTATTTTCCCAACATGTTAAACTTATTTTTGTATCTTATACATCGCACACAAATATGACGGGCGAGTAACAGAAGCTACGCCAAAAGTCACCAATAAAATCTATATAACTTTTAAGCACCATTCACTAAAAATCATGCTAAATACTAAATACTTTTGGTAACCACAAAGACCATAAAAATTAAGCGACGAAGGTGCAGCAGCATCAGGTTGGCTTAGATAAATTAAAACTTTGCACCAATTTAAAAAAGCGAAACGAAGTATGAAAAGCAAAATAAATGTGCTTCATTTTGGTCTTAAGTGGCACAACACCCTCAATCAAAAGCTCCATCACTCCACACTTCATGCACCACATATTGTCAGATCTATCCTCACCACATTCAACGTAACATACCAGCGAAATGTGTGCTCAGTTGCATGGCTCATATTGGCCATATCATGATTTAGCCCGTATTTGTTTGAAGGAGGACGTTTTTACTTCGCTTGAAAACCTAAGCCAAAAATAATCAGCCATGGATTGTAGGTAATGAAAAAAATATATATTGTATATATGGTATATCAACTGTTTTGGGAGGAAATAAGAAAAAATGTGTAATTTGCGTTTCTTCACTCAACAAGATATAAAAAAAAACCTAATAATGCATATAAGCAAAATAGCGATTGATACTAGAGACTAAGCCGCAATGTAAAAAGCAACAGCAAGAAATGCTTAAATCAACACGAACACGTACGTTAAAAAACAACAAATATAATTTTTCTTCAATAGAAGCAACCGCTATTGGCAACACTAACACAACGAGAGAATTGCCAATAGATCAAGTCACTAAGTTACTACGTCATTTAGTTACTGTTTTGGTACATGTTTGTTGTTGCTGCGCTGAATTGCTATGTGTGCGCTGATACTCTAGTAAAAACAACAACAACAACAACAACAATAACAGTAGTAGCAATAGCAGTGACGGCAAAAGTAATAGCAATGAGCACGTTTGTTCAGCACAACAAAGCACATACACATACACATACAAAAGCTAAAATAATAATAACAAACAACAACAACACTAGCAAGAAATCATAGTGAACTTCACTCTTAATTTCAATTTCAAAGCATTAAACTACGAAATCATAAACTACGTTAGCGACTGCTAAAGTTGCTGCCGCTGCCGCTGTCGCTGCTAACTGCACAGCACAGCAGACAATACTGTGCACAGCTGTAGTTCGGGTGGAGTCAAGTATATAAAAGCAGCTTCCTTCTTGGTTCTAGTTATCAGTTGACTAAAGCACTTTGAATTGCTTGTGCGCGCTAACTTCGTCTGTACTTAAAATAAACTAAACAAATCCTAAACATAAAAATGGCTTTCTTCAAAGTGAGTGTTTCGAATTAAAAAAAGCATGATTATTGCAAGAAACGAATATAAACTGAAAAGGATATATGTGGCTATGACAAAAAATATGTCCTTTCAAGTGCAAAAAAAAAAAAATAATAATATTATAAAAAAAAATTATTTAAAAATATTTAAAATATATTTTAATTTTAATAAGCAAAATTTAAGAACTGTTCTAAATAAATTAATATTATTTACAATTATGCAGATATATAAAAAATAAAAATTTAATTTTAGTGTTCTCTTATAAGTGCTTCATCATAAGTTGTTTTAAAAATAGTGTTAATTAGTCTTAACTTTGTTTTCTTTTAGTCCTTGGTATGCTTGGCTGTATTAGGTGTTGCCTCCGCTGGTGTTTTACACCATGGCGGACATGGCCCTGCTTTGTATGCTGCTGCACCAGCAGTCTATGCAGCACATGGTCATGATGAAGGATTGGACTATCATGTAAGTTTTATTAAAAAAACAAAAAAAAAAAAGACATATATTATTGCATTATATTATTATTTAAATAATAATATAATGCAAGCTAAAGATTAAACATTAGTAAGGATCATAAAAAAATTGTATGAAATATAAAAACTAAAATTATAGTTTTAAGTTAATGATGTTCCATTGGTTGAAAAAATGGTTTTTATAATTGATTTAAAATCTTAAGGATAACAATGTAATGATAGCTAAAGATTACTCATTAAAGATATTAACAAATATTGAAACATAGTTAGGGATAAATCTTACAAACCACAAAGAAACATAAATTAAAATATTTCGAAAGTTCTATAGAATTCATATTTTAATTATAACCAACCTTAGCAAGAATAATATGACTAAATATTGAAACTAGGACTAGATATTGAGTGATGTTAAATTAAATTTTTAGTTAAATTATAATATCACTACTCCAACCTAACCTAAATTATAGAATAAACATTATATTTATCATGAATGGAAATAACAAGGATTTAAAAAGATTATCCTTATTATACATTTGTTAAATGCAAAAAAAAATTTGGAATAGTTAAAAAAAATCAATAAATATTTCAAGCGATATTTAAATCGAATTTTATAATTTTCTTTCAAACATAATTTGTAAATTAAAAAAAAATTTGAAATTTCAATGAAGCTTAAAATTCTAATTTATTATTTAAATTTACTTTTAACCTTAATATTTTGAATTCGATAATAACATTTAATGCAGATATTAGGGTTTATTAAGAGAGATGTTATATAAAACATTGTGTTCCATTTGGTCAATTATTTGAAAGAAAACTTATAGAAAAAATTAAGCTGTAAAAAAACAATATTAGTTAGAAGTATTAGAAGTATTTTTAAAATTCTTTTTCGTTTTCCTTCTTTAATTACTGAAAAATTATAAAATAAATTTTTCTTCTTGATTTACAAAGAAAAAATTTTACACTCATGAATTTTAATCTCCCAGCACCTTTTCCCTTTCAAAAAACAGGATTGTTAAATTTGATACTTAAAACAGTTTCTATAGTGTTTTCCCTTTTAACAAACTGGGCTGATATATTTAATAGTTAAAATATAACTAGAGTTGGAATGTGTTTTTATCTTAGTGTAAAATATTTTTGTACTTCAATTTTTATAATTATTTTATTATTTTAATTTCATGTTAAAACATACGATTTCAATTAAATGTAGTATGTGTAATATATTGTATTTAGTCCAATTTTTATAAAAACAAAAATGTTTATTTAACCAATTCAAATTCTAGTATTATAACTGAATTTATGAAATTTTAAGTTAGTGCTCTGAGAGATATACTGAACTCAAAATACAAAAGGTATATATAACACAGATTATGTTATTATGGTGATGCTTAGGATTAACTTATCGCCTAATACATAACCTAATACATTACGAAGCACTTAAGACTATACTGTAGCTATAATAAAGCTTAAGATGCTCTTAGGCAGTGAAGGACAATAAAAGAAATATTAAAATATTAATAAAATAGAATAGAATAAAATAACATAAGACTGTTACTAAAGCAGTTTGATATTGATTTAAAATATTGATAGCTATAATTATTATCATAAAATAAAAAATTCTTAAAGGAATTTGTAGTTTATACTTGTTAAAATTTTCCGTCCATTTCTACTGATTCCGGCTTAGTTCATTGCTTTCAAGGTCTCTGAAAATAAGCCATTCTCCCACATCACACCGTCAACTTGTAAATTATTACTATATATAAAAATTAGTCGATAAAATTTTAAATCTTACTTAATTGTCTACAACTAATCATATACAAAATATGACTACCACAATTAGAGTCTTTCAATTATACTTCTTTAGTATGACGAGTTGGTGATTTAAAAATTTTCAGTTATTAATATAAATTCATAACAATTAAAAATTTGTTAATCGTTCGTACTAATTGAATATGACAGTCTACTATGTGATTTTTTTTTTTTACAATATAAATTCATTCAAATGATTGTAGTTAATAAAGATCTTACGACAAGAGTCTCGAACAGCGGCAATGTCTCAATGCAGATAAGCGATTTGCAATTATTTTGCATCAAACTTTTTGTGGCAGCATGTAAAACGCATGCAGAGCAGAGTAGAGCAGAGCAACAGTGTTGCAATCTGACATAAAAACAACACAAACGACAAAAGTTGCAAGATACTTTAACAATTACGTGTAGCGCAGCTGACGGACAGATACTCGCAAGCAGGCACAGCCCACGGTGGGTATGAGTAATGCGGCGGGCAATGCCAATAAAATAACAGTGGCAAGACAATGAAATTATAAAATTACATTACGTGTTGATGGGCTAGTTGAGATAAATTCGCACTAAATTAAATGTTATAAACAAGCGTGCCGTGATAGAAAATATACTAAATGATTTTAATAATAAAAAATGAGTTGAAGTATAAAAATAATTTAAGACTAAAGACAAATTAAAAAAGTTGAAAAATAGTTTTAATAATAGTAATTGTCAAACCTTAGAAAAAAAAGTAAAGTATAAACCCTATTAATGGTCATTACTCTTAAATTGATGTCGGTTTCATATCGGAAGTCACATACTCATAACTTTATTTGCAAGAAATATATCTTTTTTCCTAGATAGTCTTTTTTAAAAATATTAAATAAAAATAAAATTTCTTACAATATTTTTTATATTTTTCTATTTATGTTCAAATTAAAAGACATTAATATTTTAATATAGTTTTAAATATATATATCACCTTTTTCAAAATATTGGCACATACATATAAATACCCTATTGTTTAAATTAATTGCTTCCAACTTTTGTGAAATTAAAGGAAAGTGTTTCTCATATATACTCTTATGATAAAAAAATTATTTTAGAGATATAAAGTTCCATTAATTTTTTTCACACTAACACATTTGTCCTTTTAAATTTCCACTTTCTATTTAATTTTAATTAATTCTTCTACTTAATTCAAAATACAGTGCATCTTCTACTTTAAATGCAACTTATATTACATTCATTCAATTAAAAATCTTAATAAAACTGATTTATCTCGTTTGTATTTATTAATACTTATTAAATTGTTACCTAGAATTTATCAACATATTGGCATTTATTTTTTAAGAAATAATTAAATGCACTTTAAAATTTTGGTTACAGATTTAATGGCAACCAAAAATAGTAATGTTAACCACTGCATCTTGATACTTCGCTCCTTTAACAAATTATTCTGTGGTGTATTTAATTACAGCTTCATATCAAATTTTGCATAATTTTTTAATAAATTGTTACTTTAAGCAGCACATATTGTATCTGTAACGTAGACAATATTTTAATTATGAGTTTATATAATAACCAATCTTTGATCTGAATTTTGTGGTTGAATGATTAAATATTTTTAGTGAAACGTGAACAAATAATAAAATTAAATGCTTTATTATTTAACTTGAATACAAACATAATGACGTTAAAAACTAAATTTTTAATGGCATAATTAAAACTTCAATTTTTATTTGGTATTTTTGTATTTTTTTCTTTTAATTTTTATACACAAAAGTGCAGACTTCAAACAAAGTCAAAGAATCGAGTCAAATGCAAAGCAAGTCAAAAGACTTAAGCAACAAACTTAAGCATATTAAAAACTGAAAAATAATATATTATTATCTATATGTATAATATATTTACATATAGTACACAGTGTATGAATATTTGTATATAAATATATGTAAGTTTATTCGTTCATTCATAAAAATGCATAATTAAAAATATTTTTAGAGTTATGGAGCACTTAAAATTATAAAGACTGAGAGTCTTTTAGTTACTGCACTGCCATGACAATTGCAACAGTTTTTCATAAAACTTTAAGTAATAAAGGTTATAGTTAGTGAAGTGTAAATAATTATAAGATTTCTAAACAGTAGAGCACAATATACTTTTTGTGGTTTTCATCAATGAAAAGTAAGCAAGACTTAGTTTCAGTTAAAATATTTCAAGAGAAATAATCAAATATTCATAAACATTATGCTGATTTAATGTATGGTAAATTAAAATTACCGTGCAAACATTTTAATTTTTGAACTTAAGCAAAATACTTTGTAGTTACTATAAACAATACATAATTTTTTTTATAATATATCAACAATTATTAAATAAATTTTATATATTTTCTTTCTAGTCCTATCCTAAATACCACTACAACTACGGTGTAGCTGACTCTCATACCGGTGATGTTAAGTCACAACACGAAGTCCGCGATGGTGATGTAGTCAAAGGCTCATACTCCTTGGTTGAACCTGATGGTTCAGTGCGCACCGTTGAATACACTGCCGATGACCACAATGGTTTCAATGCTGTTGTCTCCAAGAGTGCACCAACCATCCATCATGCCGCACCAGCCTATCATGCTGCTCCAGCACTTGTTGCTCACGCTGCACCAGTCGCCTATGCTGCACACACCGCACATGCCGGTCCAGTTGTTGCCGCACATGTAGCCGCCGCCCCAGCTGTGCCATATGCCTCAGTTGCGCATCATGCCGCCTATGCCGGTCATGGTCATGGTCTTGGCCACTACTAAACTGCCACAAAATCTATTCTTAAATTATTTAAACTCTAATTAAATAAAAACAAAAAGTAGAAAAAAAACTAAAAAAAAGCAACAACGAGGACGAATTAAACGACGACTTTAAACACACAAAACTAGTGAAAGAGTAGCAGGCGTGCAATGCAATTAAATTGTCAATGGATCCATGTCTAAAGAAGAAATCGATTGGAGAAATTAGTGAAACGATTTTGTGCAGTAAAAGTGAATTAAGTCATTTGTATCTGTTGAACTAGTTAAAGTAGCCTGTATTATATTTTCTTCCTCTCCACTGCCGAACTATGTAACTTTTGTATATAATTTAAATAATTTAAAGCTAGATCTCTTCTATAAACTAATAAGATCCTTTCAAATCCTACTTCCATAATCTGACTATTCACAGTCACTCTAACTAATAATCAAGTCCTGAAAGTCCTTTTTTTATTGAAGTGTTTATGTTCCAGTATTTACTTTAACTACACTTTTTAGTATTCAATGCAATTTTATTGCAACACTGCCACGCGTCTCTTGTCTGTATTTGCCACATAAATACAAAACTTATACTCACAATGTACCTTTTAGAATACTCTTTCTCTCTTCTCACTCTTCTACTCGCCCACTTGCATCGCCTATCTCATACATTTGAAAGAATATTTTTAATATTTTGCATGTGTTGTAAGAAATACGACCGCCCATTAACTTGCCACACCCATTTACATACCGATTGCGAATTGTTGATGGTCTTGAAAAAAAAATATGTAACATTACGAAACATTTGTAAATTGTAAAAAATACCTTATTGTAATTATATACTTTATACTTTTTTACGATTAATTTAAGTTTATTAAATGAGAAAATGCTATAAATAAAAATGTAGTGAATTGAAATTTGAATTGAGTTTTATTTGTCAGACTTCATATACAGACTATATAAAGGATCAAATATGACCTGTACTAAATTATCACTAAAGTGGCTTAAAACTTCACTCAACAGATATATCTAATTAATATGAAATAAAAATAAAAATTGAAATGCAGTGATGACGTGATGACATTTAAAAATATTCAGTTATAATAAGATGATCCTTTATACGATCATAGAACCACAAACTAATAGTAAAAGAGACCTCAAACCCGCTGTTTAAATTCTTGCATAAAAAGTCTAAAATCTATGTTTTCATGATATATGTTATTCTATACTTACGGAAATTTGGGCATTAACACAAATTCGGTTATATACTAGATAATCGACCTTACATTGCTCTTATGTAGATGCACATAATAGACATAATAGATTAAACCTTTGAACATAATTGCTTTAGTTGGTAATTATGAAGTTCCTAATAGCACTTTAAAGAGTGGTAATAACAGGAAATCAATTACAATATTTATTAAAATTACTTACTACTACTACAGTTATCTTCTTCACCACGTGGAGCATAGGACCTCTACCATAGATCTAAAACTAACTATATTGGGTATGCTTATATCTATGATATACCGCAGCATATATTATTTCAGTTATAATTTGCATTAATGGGTTCTCTATCTATAGTTCTACACTAAGTTTGTGCTGGTGCACCAGACATTCTACAGTCTTGAAGGTTCCATCTGAGTGTTGTTCTTGTAATATGGTTTGCAAATCTACAAAGTGTAGGCCAATGCATTGCTATTTGCGGCAATCAATCCGAATTGGAAGGGTTTCTTATTGTGTATGGTTCCACATGTCATTAAAATTACTTAATAAAATAAGAAACCTTAAGAAAATTAAATACATATTGTTTATTCCAATATTAGATCATTGCAAAATCTGAAGATCAAATTATTTCTAGAAAATCACACTGTAAGAAATTGTAGAACTGTTGACCTACTCTTTATAATAATAATAATATCAAAGACAAGATATTTTCATGTTCTTCTTTAAATGGCATGAAAAAACTGCAAAGGCCGAGAATAACTGCTAGATAGAACAAAAGTGCATCTTACTAAGGCGACTTTGGTCAAAAGTATACCATTAAGGAGTAAACACGCTCCTAAGTTTAACAAGAAGTGGGTACAATGCACTTTCTTTCTTTATTATAGTGCCATGGTTTCAGAAAAATATGCCTACAAAAAAGATTTTCTCAAGACTTTCCATCAAGATGAAGGTATCACTAAACGACTTTTTCCCGACAAACAGTTAAGAGCTTTATAATAAGTATATCCGATAGAGGTAAGTAAAGTCTATTTAACCATATTTATTAGATTTGGTATAGTGAAAGAATGATTTACTAGCAGTGGGTGATATTTAGAATTAAGTTACTCAATTGGATCACAAATGTCTTAGGTCAATATGAGTTCCAATAGTCTTTGTGACAGAATTATGAATCTAAAAACAATATTGTTTTGAAATTGTTTTATATTCATAATTTTATTTTATTTTTATTTTAGTTTGAAATTTTTTTTATTTTCATGGATTAAAAATTAATCCTCTCGGCAGGTTTATTTCACTTTTTTCTACCGATTTTTTTCACGCTATGAAGCACATTTTACACTCTTAAAGGTTGCTGTAGAGCCTTAAATTCCATTCCTGCTAGTATGATATTGATTCATCCGTTATTCGACTTTTATACTATCATTTATACTTCAGATGTCGAGTACTGATATAGTTCATTCATATTTGCTTGATGATTGGATATTTATCTACATTTTAGTTTCAATATTATCTGTAATCCTCTTGTATTAAATCATTGTAGTTCTTCCAAATCTTCTAAGTACTTATGTTATTCCTTATGAATTTTATAAAGGGTATTGATAAGATTATAACGATTATTCGGTTTCTTAAATCTATTTTTTTCCTTTTAAACGGATTTAATTGCTGTTTATTGATTTAATTATTTTTAAGCAAAAGCGTTCCATTTATATGACTTCCTTAATATAAGTGGAATTGCTTTATTTAGTTTTAAAGATTGGTGTAATTTTTCATTGAATTAAATGGGATTCTGTTGATTGTTGTTGGAAACAGCGGTAATACTAGGGAGTGCTAGATTCATTATGAAATCAAGGTTTCGGTTGTTTAAAAGTTCAGAGCTATTCTTGAGTTTTTATTATGTTACATTTTTGATTGTTGTGACGTACAGATACGAACGAAACTTTCGACATAGTAAAGGGTGGACAGAATTTCTATTTGTTCTTCACCGGCAGTCATTGTTTTACTAATTTGGAGTTTTTCAGTTTCTTTTAATAATGTTCAATATCTTTCACTTTTAAATTGCATATTTTTCTTGCATATCTTCTTTAACATTGCATTCATTATGAACATTCGTAGTAATAGCAATTTTTTATTAAACTTTATTTGTAATATCAATTTGGTTATTGATATTAATATTAATGTTTCGTTTTACTTTTAATGTCTTCCAAAAGGCTTTATCATATGTACATTCAAATCTACATTCATCCCAACTATATAGCTCGAAGTCCCAGCTTCGAATGTAAAACTGTGGATCTAATGAGTTAAGCAAACAATACTTTCCATCAATATAGTAACGCTCTGCGTATCTTAAAGTTTACATCAAGTTTTATGAAATCTAAAATATTTTAAAAATAATCCTAAATGCATACTTTCGAATCCACCCATTATTAACCAAACACACGAAAACAAATTTGTTGCATATTTTTAGGAATATGGAAAATGTGTGCTTGAAGTATGCCACCAAATGAGAAAGCCATAAATTTGATATATTTAATTTAAAATATAAATTCTATTTATTTAGGATTTGTATCTACGAAGTTTTCTTTTAAAATTTTAATCATTTTGCATTTTTAGTCGCTAAACCTATATTGAAGTTTGAGATACATGACCACATTTACAGTGTATACACACGGATATAGAAAACTACACTAAAAAGTATTATTTGTAAATAAAGCTTATATGTTTATCAATTCCTAAATACTTGTTCTGTAAGTATACATAATACTTTTTAAAAAATATTCTTGAAATAATCTGAAGCATCCGCAAATATATAACCTAAAAGCACAAGAAGATGGATCATTTCGTATTTGCCACAACATTGAGAAAGAAGGAATCAAATATGGAACAAACAATCTTCAAACACATCAAATCACAGTACGTAAAATATTTGGGGCTTGTTGTGGGACTGCTATCGATACAGCATCAAAGCAAGTTATGTCAAAGTACCAATTAGTGAAGAAGATGAAGGCAACATAAAAACTATCGATTGATGAACCGATTAAAGATGATTGTAAATACTGAAATAGAGTAGAGAAAAGAGCGACGGAAAAAGTGTTTAAAAAATTACTGGTTCATCTCATATCTTGACCTGCATGGCAATCAGTTCAGTTGATTTTAGTTTGACAATTTTCTTAAAAAATTTAAAAAAATAAGCTGACTGTAAGCGTTGAAGTACAAGAATGTATCAAAATTTCATGGAATGATTTCATGAAAATGAGATAAAAGTCATGTGGGATAAAGGACATATCGGTATTGAGCAAAACGATGAGGCAGACGAACTTGCAAAGCAAGGACCAAGCCATAACTTCTGCGACCCAGACCACAAAATATCATTGGGCTACAAACTGACTGCAGCTTATGTCGATAAGTGAATAACTTTACTTCATTTTGATAGATGGAGAGAGAGATGAGCACTTGTAGACAGACTAAAGTCATGATGCCGAGACCGTTGGCCAGGGAAGCGATAAAAGTGCTTAGCTATCCGCAGAGCATTCTAAGTTGGCTGACCTTATTGATTACGGGACATGGAAACTTCAAGTATCACCTTAAAAAAATAACTATTGCTGAGAAAGATACTTGAAGACTATGTCTAGAAGAAAAAGAGACAGTGGTGCATATATTGTGCCAATGAACAGCACTGGTAACCAGGAGGATGACTGTCTTGGGACACCATTGCGTTGGTGTTGACTTGGCAGGCATCCTCAAGCTAAATGAGCTGCTTGCATTAACAAGCGATGTAGTTATAGGAACGGAAGCCACAAGCTTTAACTCAATAACGACATCCGAGAATCAAAGGACAAAAAAGGACCCAATTCGGTTCGTATTCTACTTCGGCTAATTCTTTACTTCAGTGAGGCCACTTGTAAGACGGTGGGCTGACCCAACGTCCTACAATATATATGAAGCGTTGAAGTCAAATGAGTTTACTTGATTACAGATTGAATGTGCGTTGTGATATTTCACTACTATTACCTCCATCCTATATAAATGGATCGCTTATCACAGGTTATAAAAATTTTAATAAATTTTAATTATATAAAAAATTTCTACAGCTAAAATCAAATACATCACTTGTCAATTCATTATATGTTAATCTTGCAGTTTTGAGTTTTGCTTAGCATTTAACTATAAGATATATATTTAATTTCTTGATATATAATTAATTAATTATTCTGTGCAGAAAAAACATTTATTGCATCTGTTTGAATACTTTGAATATCTATTTCAATATAGGAAGTTTAAGAATTTCTGTAATTGTACTCAAATAAAAAAGAAAACAACACTATGATTCATTAAAGAAAAAAATTAAAGATTAATGTTAAATAAACATTTGAAAATGAAATCAATTAAATATGTGTAAGCCTTGATTTGATATTAAATTATACTTAATTATAAATAAAATATATTACATACGCCACAATTGCATAAAGCTTCATAGCACTAATCTTTCAAACTGAATCCATAAGAATGAGTTCCGTTCCTTTTAAAGAAAAATTGAAACCGAATCGATTTTCTCATGTAATTA